AATCCCATACTATAGAATCCTCCCTTCCTCCCCCCCAACCCAAAAGGCAAACCATGCAAAAACCCCAAAAGCTGCACCAACTAGTCCAACTCCCAATCTTGGACATCATGATGCAAATGAACAGATGAATATTCCAAACATACGACTGTCCCTGTCTACTCCTGACAGCACCCACTGACACCTCCCAATCCTTTGCAATATGACAAATCAAAGGAAACCACAACTCCAAAGGTAGCTCACCACACCACCGATCCCTCTAAAAACGAACTCTATTCCCTACCCCCACCCTATAGGACAATCTCTTCCAAAACTCCTCCCAGCCTAACCAAATCCCCTTTCACAAACCTTGGCCATGATATTGAGCCACCCTTCTTGAACACCATCCACCTCTATCCAACCCAAATTTGGCCACCACCAACTTTCTTCACAACCGCTCTGTCACGCCCTACACCTGCCCCTGGAGGTTTGGGCATGACCTAAGCAAGACCTGTCATAAAAACTGGTGTACACACCGTACGGGGCCTTATCGGAAGCATAAAATATTAATATATCAAAAATACAAGCATACTCCATTGAGCTATTTCTAATATGCCAGGATCTCATGCATTACATACATCATCAAAAGCGGATAAAGTTTAAAACTGTATCCTTGGATATCGTGTATAACATATACATTTACAGTCCTAGCCCGATAATTGGGCATAACAAAAGGAATATAAAAGTTAAGTACAACATCCATAGGTGGCTCTCAAAAGCAGACCCATATCTTAGCAGCTTCACAAAAATAAATGGCCTGGTATGGTGCCTGAACATGTAAAGGCTGACAAAGGGACAGCGTCAAAGTTAGGACTGACCCCCTGACTGATAACCTACAGAAACAGACATAATAGAGAGTGAGCCGAGTTCAATGAGTAGTAATACATAATGAAAGACGTCTGACTTGAAGCTTAAATACATCAATACATAAAAAGATGTAGCATGCACATGATTTGTCTGATTCTGCATTTAGCTCATAATGGCCCTAGGCCTATTCCCGTGACATAAGCTTGTGGCTATAAGCCCTTGAAACATGATGGCACGAAGCCCTTGAACATATGGCACGAGGCCCTTGTATTACACTTGAAACTTGTGGCACATGGCCCTTGAAAATGTACTTGAAACTTGTGGCACATGGCCCTTGAAAATGGCATATAGCCCTTGTAAATGCTTTTCTTTACATATAACATTAACATATCTTAAACATGCATAAGAGCATTACATGCTTGAGACATTAACATGATTGCATAACATAACATAAGTACTACTACTCACAGTGTTGAGATGGCGTGTTGCTTCCTTCTGGAATGTGCCCTGCACACAAGTAATACATTAGTCTCTCCTTTTTATAAAGCATTTCCTGAGTCTTACACCTTGCATGCTTACAACCACTTTAAAATCATCTGTAAAACATTCTAAAAATACCAGAGAAACAAGCACTCAAAGGTGAACAAACATTTAATTTTTCCTGAAAATGAGTCCTCCACTCGAGCGTAACTTTGGCCGCTCGAGCGGACTGTAAATTGCACAAAACTGCTGAGAGGTGGTTTTTCCCGCTCGAGCGGGCTTTCCTACGCTCGAGCGGACCAAGCGAATTTTCTGAAATTCTGGACCTTCATTCGAGTCCCAACCAGGTATTCATTCCATTTTTGCATGCAACCCAAGGTTAGGTTAATGCAATATACTCACCTAACTTCACTATAACATGAATTCTACCTTGAGTATCATAAATTAAGCAAGATTAGGAGCTTTAAAAAGTCATCTCCCTCCCTAATTCCACTCTTGAATTCAAGTTCTTTCATATCTTTGAAACATAACACATGATATATACATAATTCCATGAAGTGATGATAGAAAACCATAGATTGAAGTATACTTTCATACCACACCCAAATCTAGATGCCTAAGCAACCAAGTAAGAGAAACCCTCATCATTCATGAATGAATTAGACATGAATCAAACATACACATCAATACAAACTCTAAGTGGCCATAGCAAGAAGGATTTGAGCTTACCTTGAATTCAATCCTACACCTCTAACAATTTTGCCAAGCTTCCTTGTGGAATCCCTTCTCCCCCGATTTCTCATCTTTTCCCCCAAAGTGGTATTCACGTTTGTTTATTTTTGATCAAGGCTCCTAAAGGCTTAGAGATATATATATATATATATAAGTAAGGCATAAGTAAGGCATATAAGACAAAAATGGATCGTTTAATCATTCCAAAATTAAAATTTCACGAACATGCTTAATATTACTTAAAAATTATGCTGATCACAGATATATAATCAATTTCAGCTAATTAAGCTGTTAAGGCTTCCAATTTCTAATTCAAACACGTTAATGGTGACAGATAGTTTCCTTGTGAGACAGATAGACATTCATAGACATGGATTTCACTTCCTTAATCATAATTTTTCACGGAACTACACAGTAAGCATTTAAGAAATCATGTACGAGGGTCAGGTTATTACATTTTTCCTATCAACAGAAGTCTTTTATCGATTCTGAGTCTTACTTTCTTTGTTTTTCTTGCCTGATTCAAACAAATCTTAGCCGAGGTTTTCTACCTCAATGTCTCTACTAATCTAACTAGATCAATCTTAGTTCTACTCTGTCGTCATGACAAGTCTAAGTTATGTATCATGTTCTATTTTGAAATATTACCAACTTAGTTCAATTCTACCATATGGCAAGTCTAAGTTACTCGTCATGTTTCATTCTGAAATATCACCAACTTAGTTCAACTCTACCATACAGCAAGTGTTAATGCAACTCTACCATATGGCAAGCCTAAGTTACTCGTCATGTTTCATTCTGAAACATTGCTAACTTAGTTCAACTCTACCATATGGAAAGTCTAAGTTACTCGTCATGTTCATCATGGGAACATCGTCATAAGACTATCTTCTCTTCATCGGGGGCATACATTACTATCTGGTGGTAGCCTCTATATGCATCCAGGAAACCCATCCTCCCATGCCCTAAAGTGGCATCTACTAATTGATCGATCTTGGGCAGTGGAAAACTATCCATGGGGTAAGTTTTATTCAGGCTGGTGAAGTCCACACAAACCCTTCACTTGCCACTCTTCTTTTTCATTACCACTATGTTGGATAGCCAGGTAGGGTAGTTCACCTCCTGAATGGCCTGGGCTTCCAACAGCTTGTCCACTTCCTCCTCAACTACCTCCACATGTATCAATGTCGGCCTCCATTCTCGCTGGATGACAGGCTTAGCCGACCTGTCCACATTGAGCCTATGACAAGTGACCTCGGGGTCAATGCCAAG